CTACCACTACTAAACTTAAGTACTACGTAAAAGAAACCCGAACTACGTAGTAGTAGGTAGTTACGTTAGTAGTAGTAGAGAGAGAGACGAAACTAACCTACGACTGTCGTCTCTCTCTCTCTCTCTCTCTCTCTCTCTCTCTCTCTCTCTCTCTCTCTCAAATATCATTTTCCAAAATGCTATACTTCCCTTCTAATTGTATTTGACAAACATTCCCCTATATGATTTGAAAAGGATGATAATAACAAGCCTTGAAAGGTATTTTAGATTAAATGAAAAGGTGATATGGGTAAAAACATAATGACCTCCAAACTGGCTGGTCCAGCTCTGGTTCACTAGGCCATCCATTCCACTATAGCAAAACCAAAACAAACAGGCGACCAGCCACTGATTTCTGGTTCAAACGGGCCGGTCTAGTCCAGTTCTGACATCACTGCTTTTGACTACCTTAGGCCACTATTTCTTCATAATTGTTAGCCAAAAGAAAGGGGGATTGGAATCTACTTTAAGAGGGGAGAGTCGCCAATCCAAAGGTCTGTCCAGAACTTTATCTTTCACCGCCTCCGGCTCTAAAGTGAATATCGACCTTAATTGGGTTAGAGCATGCCAAGAGATAACGTCAAACCCCTACCTGGAATTTACGTAGCCCTTACGTAACCATGCGGATGGTTCAGTGGGGTATTCACGTCCGACAAGAGCCTGCCACATGTGGTTATCTTGTAGCAGCAAAGCGCCACCACCACCTCCCTAGTCAGGCCATGTTGCATTATCTCAGTCTACCAATACTAAAGCCACCTTGTCGTTTGGGAAGACATATGGTGCTTCGAGCAATGAGATGGACCATGTGGTTGTCCTTTTGTCCCAACCGTAGAAAATTCCTCATTTCTCAAGCTGGGTTGTATTGGATATGGGCATGCGGAATAAAGACATTTGGAAAACAAGTAGGTTAGAGAGGATGGCCTTAATCAAAGTTATGACTTGCCAGATAAAAATCTGCCTTTCAAGGCTGTAAATTTGCAATTGAATCTCTCGACAATCACCATGAAAATCAACGGCGATCACCATGATTTTCGTTTTAGCCATATTAACCTTGAGTCCCATTGCCACTTCGAGACATCTAAGGTAAAGCCACAGTGTTCCATTTGTTCTTGGGTTGCGCTGCAGAATATAAGGGTTTCATCGACATATGGCAAGTGAGAGATTAAGACCCCTGATTTCCCGCTTTGAAACCTTCCAAAGGCCATGTTGATACATTCTTTCAATGGATCTACTAAACATCTCAGCCACTATGGTGAAAAGGAAAGGGGAAAGGGGAATGGGGAACCCCCATGAAGAGGGAAAGTAACCCTTCAGTGTTTGTGGTTCATTATCAGTATTGAGAAGTATGGAGCTGAAATGCAACCTTTGGTCTATTGTGTCCATTTGGTTCCAAAGACATCCTATCCGAATGGTCATAGGCTTTTTCAAAGTCGCCTTCCAACCCAACCCGGAAGACTAGATGTCTAGAGTGGATGCATTCGTGGGCTGCAAAAGCCTCATCTAAGATCTACCTATCCTTAACAAAAGGTCCTTGATTAGGTGAGATGACCCATTGTAGGACTTCTTTCAGGTAAGAGGAGAGAACTTTGGCTAGGTATTTGTATGAGCTACAGAGGAGGCTTGTAGGTCTAAAATCTTTGATTTCTTCATCACCTTCAATTTTAGGTATCAATTGCATGAAAGTGGCATTCATGGCCTTTTGGACTCTGCATCTGTAATGAAATTCGTTAATGAAGACAAGGATATTTGGCACATGTGGTCCCAAAAGCATTTGAATAGAGAAAGCTAACCAGGATCTTTGTCCTGTCCTGGACCTTTGATGTCCTTTAACTTTTCCTCCTCTATGAAAAGGTGCTCAAGCCACATGGCCTCTAAAAGCCATGTGGTACCGCTCATAAAGCTCACTATTACTCCACATCGGAAAGTCTCTCACATGCCCAGGATTTGGATTGTGCTTTTGATTCAATAAGAATGTCGACAATGGCAATGCTACATCCCAAATTTGAATCCTACTGCTGGACGATCCAAAAGAAGTCTCCCAGATACCCCAAAATAAGCTAAGCATCTCAAATCCATGTGCATTTCGGAAGACATGGTAGAAACAAACAAAACAATACTTAAAGGATCATACAGCTCAATGTAAATACTAACAGAACACCAAGCACCATCAGTTTCCACCTTTTCCTTTAATCAGTAACTTAAAAAATGGCTCACCTCAGCGCCTAGGCCGCACCTTGAAGCTGGGAAAGGCCCTTATCCCCCTAGAGCAGGGCCCCTCTAGATGCCTGCTTGAGTGGCCTAGGCGCAACTTAGGCAGACGTCTAGAGCCTTGACCAAGGTAACCATATTGGACAGTTTGTGTTTGTATATGTGTGCGTGCGTGAGTGTGTGTGTGAGAAGGAGACAGAGAGAGATTATGCTGCTCAAAGGAAAACAGAGAAATATTGCATTGTCATGCAGACAGAGAGAGAGAGAGAGATGTTATGCCACCAAGCTACGAATGCTAGTGTTTGGGCTCCATGAACAGATCGATTAGAGTGAGCCCTGGTTCACTTCTTTGGTGCATGTGGTGCAATAGAAATTGCACACTAATTGTTCAGTGAAAATTCTCTCGGAAAATTTCATTCACAACAATTGTGATGAAATTCTCTCGGAATATTCAGTTCACAGTCACAAAAGAAAAGGTTCGATGAAAAATGGTCCTGAAATCAATGTATTGATATCAAGTAATATCGATTTCCATCGATCACGTGAACCCAATTTTCTAAGAGGATTTTTCATGGAACACTTGTGTGTGCACTTTCCTATACAGAAACCCCAACCAACTTATAATGTTTAAATAGATATCATTTTTTATTGTCAATCCTTTAATACCGTCCTTCCCATATTTCCCCACAACCTGAGCTTTTTGATAGTTTTGAACAATGCCTGTAACGCTCACAATCAAATAAAATCCATTTCCAGCATAGAGAATCTCGCTCAACCCTTTCTTCTTTAGGTATTGATAATCATCCCCCCCCCCATCCCCGGGTCTTTTCTCTCCCCTCTTTTCTCCTTTTTTCTTCTTCCCCAAGGTGCCATCTAACCAGCCAGATTAAGTGTTTGAAAAAACACCATTTCCTCCTGGCCACCTAGCCAGTGCCTTGGATACTAAAACACTGATCTGTAATACCGCTTACCAGCTTGAAATATCAAAGAATACAAAGCATAGTCAGAGACTGATCAGGAACACCATTCCCCCACTTGAAACATCTAAAGATCGAAAGCATGTGTCAACTATTATAGGATTCCGCTAAGTAAAGATTTGTTCACAACAGCTATAACTTCCAGAAAAATTGTCCTCTTCCTAGGGATGCATAAAAGAATAGTATGCTCAAGATTCAAACTGCAGAAAGGAATAGTGCAGGAACTAGAATTCTAAATACACATACAAATGCCTTAAGAAATGCAATAAATAAGGGGGACAACAAAAAGAAGCAAGCATCCTAACAGAAAAAAAGAATTACTAATGTGATACAATTGTTCGGAAGAGTTGCAAAGTGGACATACTGAACAAAAAAAAAAAGATTCTCACAAACCTGCCAAAATATTTTCTCGTAAAGTTTCTGCCACTTCAGAATTTGGAGCCAAGAGTTGTGCTCGATGCGCATAATCTAAAGCCTCAGTATGCCTTCCGAGCTGAAAGTTGCCAGAGATATCTATAAGCATAATATTTTTGAGAAATAAGCACCAATATATTAACATAATTTTTAGTCAAAAGCACCACCATCTAAAGATTGTGTAACCATTTGACAAGTCTAAATGAATCAGCAGTAAACTCTCCATGGAGCAATAGAATATTGTCATGCAATATTGCTGATATGATGTAGAGAATGAAACCTCTAAAAGTGCTTCAGCCATGTTAAAATGAGCCTGGAATGATGAAGGATCAATGCCTCGAGCTCTGTTGCAATCTCTGATAGCCATATGAAGATCATTCTTCCATTGCCTCTACAGGGGGAACCTCTGATCAGTATGATACCATCATGATGACTCTTTCAAAGAATGCAAATTCAATTTGGAAAAACCTTGACAAATAATGATGCTCGTGTACAAAGGCAGTCATGCTTCAGTGTGGATCCAATTTCAGGACCTTTTCCATCCAACACTTCCGTACATGCATCGATCGCATAAACAAGGTCTGAACCTGCCTCCAATGACCTTTTAGCAGCTTGAAGCAACTCGTGGCATGCATGAAGCTGTCAGAGAATATTAGTGTGCCCAAATTTTTTCGAAATACTACAAAAAGATGATAAATTGTGCTAATTATCTAGGTTCCTAACAATACATGTATCACATATTTTTGCTCTTTTTTTTCCCTTTAATGGTTTATCACATATACCAGTTATATAACACAATCTGTACACACCCTTGACAATAAATAAAAATTACTCATCAAATAAAAGGAAACTACTCTAATTACATAGACATTTCCACCAACTTAAATAAATGCACCCACCCTGCGAGAACCATTTCCAATTTTGCAGAAAGCAGCAGGCATACAATGAGATAGTGAAAGTATCTCTGTCCCATTTGGTAGTGGAGCCAAAACCATTCGCTTTGGAATGTCACTAGCTCTATACTTCATGACACTATCTCCACCTGCAAATCACAAAGAAATAGGTGGCTTGACATGCCAGGATGACCAAGAAAGTATCACATTTCTACCAATATTTTTATATTACCAAAAAAAATTTCATTAACAAAATGGTAGAAAAAGAAACAAATCAAGACTGCAAATTCTAAAAGAAACCACCCCAAGACAATCCAACAATTCTCCATATTTTGTTACGATCATCAGATGTAAATGATGATGATATTGACACAAATGAGCATTACAGGTAAACAATGGAGGAAAGAAAGAAATGATAACTAAGCACATAGTTTCAATAGAAAGAGTTTTCCTTTTTCTTTCCTATAAAATGCATGATAAATTACATAAATTGGACAACCCTATTCTGAGAAATGATTCTGTACACATAAACTCCTACCTGGCGAGCCAATTGCCCACCTCAATAAGTCTCTCCACAGGAAAGATTGGAGTAATGTAGAATTAAGTTTGTCAAACCTAGTGTAATAACACAAACGAGAAACTGCACAACAGCATGTGTGAGTGCACAGACCCACATAAATTAATATAATTATATGAATTCCTAAGTGAAATAGATGAAACTAGCTCATGGATATGAAATGATTGCTGCTTCCATCCCCTCTCAGGCAAAAAAATACGCTCCCTCCATCCGCACCCCAGGCTTTTGCCTGAGGTATAAAATTTGTGTATTAAGCCTGAGGCATGATTCAGCAGTTTTTAACAAACTTGGTAATTGGTATAACGAATATACATACTTTAAATGCTATGTAGAGACATTTACAGGATCTTCCTCTCTTTTAAGGGGGAAAAAGGTGGGGGGGGGGTCCAGGGGAGGAACTGGAGCTATCCATCCAGTTGCATCTAACAATGCAGACAAACATAAAAAGGCAGTATATAAAAACATATCGCGTTTTGAGTGTTCTCCTGCATGATCTGCACAGACATTATCCATTTTCCACACAAAGACAATAAATATTTAATAACACTGGGAATAGTCGTTTCAAAGACAGTACCATAATTATCAAGCAATTTTATTATCTAGAGGGCAGTAGCTCGAAGTTAAGAAGCATACCAACATTGACATCCATCAAGTACACGTGCTCCCCACTGTAACTAAGAAGAACCTCTTCTCCATTAGGACTGAAAGTGACATGAGTGAGATGCAAACGCCCCTGACCAAACATATCAATTATCTGTCAGACATACAACCATGACAACATGTGACAAAGATTTAAAAATTCCCTAAATTACAACATGAAGAGATGAATCTCAGAAATCCAGAGAACAACTACACAAATGAAAAGTTCTAAACAAGATCTCAAAAGCAGAACCCAAATAATTCCCTCTCCTCACCCACCTGGGAATACACCTTTTTTTCTGAGGTAAATATAGCTCATTCCCCACAATATTTGAAGTCTATTTCAGAATGAACTGGCAGCCCACCCCAAAATGATTAAAGAAGGTTAACATAGAAGTAACAGAAGTTAAACGAAATGGATAGACATGGATGTAAACAATTTGGTACATAGAAGAAAGATAAAAAAGGAACTTCAACAAATACTGGAGGCTGCTGTTTGATGTTTCAATTTGCACCAGTGGCAAACTCCATCAGAAGACGCTCAGCACTCATTTGCCTAGCTCTTTAGCGGCCACACATTTTCTCCACTTTGCAGTTAGCAAACAGAAAAATGCATTCTCATGAAAAACTAGTTTTTTCCTAAGTTTTTGACACAAAAGTCACCACTATTTGCATGCGAAGAAAGGACAGGGGCATGCATAGATGTGGCATTACCTAAAATGAAATCAAAACATGTTTTGAGGGGACATAGATGATAACACTAATCTAACCAAGATCATAAGAATAGGACACTAAATTATTAAAGCCAAATAGGGCAAAAATCCTTCAGAATGAACAAGTAGCATTCCAATGGGCTTTCTTTACACTTCGCAGCCCATTTTTTACCCCATTTCTCCTTATTTGGGTGCCGCTTTGCCTTTTGCAACATCCATTACCATTAAGGGAAACAAACCAGCCATGTTAGGTTCTGCTACAGAAACTTGAACCGTAATTTTTCCTAGCAAAACAGGATACTATCAGAAGAAAATCACATATGATAGCAACATAATAACTAAATTGGATAACATGGATAACATTATTTGGAAAGACAAAAAAAAAATAACGACATATCTATAATTCTTTGATCCTAATATTTTCTTTCTCCAGCCAAACTCAGTTTTTGAACGAATTATATAAGCTTCAACTCGTAAGCCCCTGTTACTAGCAAACAACAGTTCTCTACCTGGTAGTGATTTTAGGGGTTTCTCCTTACCCAATAGATGTGTACTCTGCAAAAGCGCAGGCATCCAACTAGTTGGTAATTGCCAATAAAACCCCCCACTGTTGACCGACTCCAACGTAGGGGTTTCTCCTTACCCAATAGACGTATACTCTGCAAAAGTGTCGAAAAATCCTGTGCACACCTTTTTCTACATTGCCCAGTTACAGTTCAGCTTTGGGTAAAATTATTGGAGGATTTTCAGTGATCATGGGTCACCACTGGGCAGAATTATTGGAGGATTTTCAGAGATCATGGGTCACCCCACTTCAACCCAACTATTATTCCAGGCCCCCTTCTCTCTGCCATATCCTGCAACAGGTTGCTTATTTTGGAAAGCCTTAGTCCTAGCCACAGTTTGAGCAATTTGATTTGAAATAAGCTAAAGAATATTTGAGGAGAAGGAATGGACTACCTCCACCATTGCACGGCGCATTAGGGGATACGACCATTTTCTGAGCAAAAAGTTACAGGGGGACTGAAATGCTTTCTTGTAAAAATTTTGACTCAAACTGGGACAACATAATTAATGACAGAACCAATAAAGCACAGGTTTCCCCACAAGGGAGGCCACCAAGCAAAGGCTCAACCGAAGTAAATCCCGATGGCTGCTCACTAGGAAACCCAGGGGCCAGTGGTTGGGTGCCGTCATTAGAGATAGTTCAGGGCAAGTGCTACTCACCTTTTCAGAAGATATAGGCCACACACATTCCACCATGGCCCGAATGCTGGTACTTCTTGATGGAGTCAAAAAGGTTCCATCTAGCTTGGGATCACACTTTATTGGCGATTCCATCCTGTCATTTAATGGGCACTTAGAAGTGTCTCACGCCCTTGGAGACTCACACACACTTTGGACCACATCTTTCATCCATCCAGAAACTTAGTAGTCTCTTTCCATCACATTTGGAGGGAAGCCGATTCAGTGGCAGCCACGATGCTTAGGGAGGGCATCAGTGAGGGGACCACATCACGCAGCATCTAATTCCCTTCTCTCTTTCACTACACTGTCATTTTTATGTCTCCTCTTCCCTCTCTCAGTCTCTCTTTTCTCTATTACTCTTGTATATTGTCTCTGTTGTATCTTTCTTCCTCTTTTCTATCTTCTACTCTCTCTTCTCTTCATGGTTCTACCTTGTCAACAAGGACCTCAATGTATTTTTGTCCCAACTTCACTCTCTCCATTTTTTGCCGTTCTTACGGGTCCCTCTCCTTTTTGATATGTAATGGGACTCAGCTAACGAACATTCTCTTTAGAATATTATCTCTCTTTTTCTTACATTGATAATAGACTTGTACTAAGAATCCGACGTGTTTGGATGCCTGGTTAACCCCACATCTTGTGGGTTACTTTTGTAATACCATTTTGGTAATACAAAACACATACACTTATCATTCAAAGAAAAAAAAAAGAACAAAACATACATGATCAGCAAGATGCATCGGACAGAAGTAATTGACACATGGAGGTGGTTTTGTCCGCTTTTGGCAAGAGCTCAACGGAGGCAGCATTCGTCGATCATATAAACGAGCAAAAGAATCACTGCAAAAAGAAAGGAAATTATCTTTTTTATTATTTTGATAGATGAAAAGAAAGAAAATAAATAAAATTTGAATCAAAGAGTATATAGCATGGAATAGTCAGGTATGAATTTTTGAGGTTTTGAGAAGAAAAATTACCTTCCACCAACTAGGATTTGATGAGGCCGAGTGGAACTAATATCACACGACTTTAAAGCCAAGCAGTGCCTAGGAGAATCTGTTAACGATCGTTTTGCGCCACAACGTAGGTCAAGCTAAGGAGACAATAAACAGAGAAAAAACTCTTGATTAGATGCATATATCCACATCTTGTAGGTCATTATCCATATTATTAATAAGATTGTCTCAAAGAAAACAAAAGACCACAACCATTTCCAAGGCATCCTTCTCTTTCTAATTTCATCCATTGATTTAAAGAAAGTAGTTTGTAATTCTTATGAGGCCATGAGCTTGAAAAGCTGTACTGTTTACCAAGACCACTCCACAAATGTGGCCCAACTACAAAATCGTATAATGCACTGTACAAACCTAAACAATTTGCACGTGCAACAATATTTCATAGCGGTGTTTAAAATATATCACCGACTAGACTCAAGACTTGCTCAAGTCAGCTTGGTTTGGAAGCATGGTGAATCCAGAGTAAAACCTTGGGACTCACCCCAACTTGGAGATTTTTTAAAAATATTTATTTGTTTAAAATTACTCGGCCCTAACTGGGACACACCCGAATCAAACCGAGTAACTGGGGCTCAGGACCCTGATGCGTCCCAGCTAGGGCCCATGTTTTTAAACACTTTCTCTTAGCATTATAAAAGTAACCACTGTACTTTAAAGACATAAACACTAGTGTAGTGTGAGTATATTTCATAGCAAAAATCCACCTATGTTGTCAAATTTAAGAATAATAATGACATTCTATGCGACGGCACGAGCAATAAAAAGGAACACAACTGCTACATCATTCTTATTCCAAGATTAAACATCCTTGCTGATAATGAAAGTCCGTAGTCTGACATGATCAGCACCAGATCTTGAGAATTACTGAAAGGCCAACAGTGTGTGCTTTATTGAACATTATCTAGAAACTCAGCAATAAAATGGTCTGTGGCGGCTAGTATTGATAAATAGCCAGCTATAAAAAACAGATGGATCCAGCCAATTCAATTCAAAAAAATAATGATGGAGAAAGTATTTTACCATTGTTCTCCATATAATTGCTCACTCCAAGTGAAACCAAAGTTATTTTTTTGTAAGATATTTAGAAATACCTAGAAACCAATACTGTACTTGCAGTATAAAAAAGCTCCCTAATTGGCGACTATTTTCCTTATTGGTAGACAATTCTGATGTTCATGTTGTTGTTGACTCCATCTTCTAGGGTATCCAGTGACGAACTTAAAGCATGCTGGATTACATTAAGTACAGAGAAAAGGTAATTCCCACCATACGTATAAATAACTGCCGAAGATTTCTTTTCTTCAGAGTAAAATTTCAAAGGCATTAAAACTAAAAGCAGCAGAACCAACTCAGCAACATCACACTATTTGGTCACAAACCACTAGCCCCACACTATTTGGTCACAGCATCCATATTCAGGATGGGGAGGAGTTAAAGTGTTATTAAGGTCAACTAGTCAAAGCAGATTCGTCATTGTTTGAGGTGTATAGGCATGACTATTTGGTAAGAGGATTCACAAGAGTGCCTTCGGTAACCCTTTCACATTAAGGTGAGTTCCTTAGTCTCATACAATTAGCTCCAAAAAGGATTGTCAGGTTCTGTGTAGAAATTTATACTCTTTAAAAAAGAAATTGGCATTCAATATGCCACTGAAGGATTGTAGGAGTAAATCTTGGACTCAGGGAGCGAATATTTTTAGGACTCTAGCTAATTTGGGTGATGGAGGGAAGTTCAGGTTTGAGGGACTTCCACTGGTGATTGACCATCACAATCCCTAGAAAATAAACTAGTCATGAGTCATGACAACTGGCATAGTTAAAAAAGACACATAGCATAAGAGAAAAAGACCCACAAAAAGGAAATAAAAGCACTCCCCAGCCATAAAAAATAAGCCTTCAAGCCAAAGAAAGCCATAATATAAATCAAAAGGTGCAAAATTCATTGAGCAAATGTTTTAACTCATAATCAGAGATACATATCCTTACAAGAACATTACGACATTCTTGATCAGCAGACCCAGAGGGAGGGCAGGAAACACATTCTCTGAAGTCATGCTGTCTCAATGTGCCATCCTCACTTGCACTCCATACCACATTCGGATTTCCAGCCTCAACCTGTGGCATTACAACCAAAGTTCCAAGAAAGGGCACACAGAAATCTAAGTATGGTCAGAGGGCCTCAACAAGCATGTGGAAAATGGTGATAAACGCTATAAAATGGTGATAAAAGCTTACAGCTAACTTCTTCACTCTCCTCGTGTGACAGCGGAACAATGCCGATGGTTCATAAACACGTTCTTCAGGGCTTCTTCCACTGGAATGAGATACACGGAATACACGAACCTGAAAGGAATTCAGTAAGGGCACTCCCCCATCAAAAAACGAACCTTGAAAATTTAACCTAACAACAAAGGAAAGAAAAGTTAATTAACTAAAGCTGAGTCAAATAAAAAAAAATACATGCCAGTATAATACCTCTCTGTCCCCAGCACCAGATGCTACAAGCTCATCACCTGTCTCCGGAATAAATTTTGTACAAAATATGTTTGCTGAATGTCCAGTATCTATGCTATGCAAAAGATTCTGGTTTGCATAACTCCAAATGTTAATCTGCAGCATGAAAACTCAAACCGTAAGCTGCAAACAATAAACATAATTATCATGCAACAGATTAACATGTGGATTTATGCAGACATCTATTTCCAAATATTTTAAAACGATTTAAAAAGTAATTGTAAAAAGATGTAGCACCGAAAACCTCGAGATCCAGTGATTAGGTAAGGCATCAGTACCACACAAACTAATAAGTACTCTGGATCCAAACTCCTGCACCTATTTAAAAATTTTAGATAATAGAAGGATAAGATTTGAACACCCAAGCATGTAAAAGTATGAGCACAAGAAAATATAGCAGGGGAAACAAAGAGTCTTCTAGTAAAAAGAACTGCAAATGAATTACTATTGCATCCTAGATTGATCGAAACTACGATGACAAATCAGAGAAAGACAAGTGCAAGCAAAACCATGCAAGCAATTAGATAACCTACAATTAGGTCACATATGACAAAGAACTCTATTATCTAAGGCCTGTGATGACAGAGTACTAGATGAAGGTTAATTCTTGTTGCCCAACAAGCATATTAAGACCTGAGGAAAGGTCTCGCAAACTTGTCAAGACTACTCTTGTTTGGCAGGGAGATCATTGAGAGAAGATGGTCCGTAATGAGGCTATTTAATTAGATATTGGAAAAGTAGTACATCACATGGAAAGACACAAGGGTCCAGTATAGACCTAGGAGACAAGAAGTATATGGAGAAAGGTCCAAGATTTGAAATGCGGAGAGAAGAATGAGGATCAGGGATCAGATATTTAGTGTGGATGCACTTCCGATAATAGTTGTTGGAGGCAGGAGCGGGACCGGACCGGTTCGGGATTTGCCGAACAGCCTTATAGTGGAAGCTCCCTGGGGTTAGGATCGGCGTCCATAAAATGAACAAGATCGGGAGCGAGATCCTTAGGTATATGGGAGCGAGATCTGATGTCAATGGGTTCAATGTTTTAATTAGCAAGAATTTAAGCTCCACTATACAAAAAAATGAGATAGTGAGTAGAGTTAGTACGAGTTTCCTTGGTTAAGTAATCGAGGTTTAAGTATGTTATAGAACATGGTTCCTCCTATTCTAAAATCAAGATTCTTAAAGTATAGGAATCAAGGTCCTCAATTGATTGGCCCAAGGTCCGCAAGTGCCATTTACCAGGGATCCCTTATCAAGTGCCCCTCGCCTTTAACAATGGATTTATTTATTTTTGCGTGAATAACAACGGATTAATTATGTAACTGTATAAGTCGTCCTTTCTTATAACCACTACATCTTCTGACCATGACACAAGTTTGGCATGCACCATTCCCTCTAAGTCCCTGGCAATCCAGAATCCTACCACTCAAGAGTCATCTTCTTCGAATGTAGTCTCATTTGCTTCCATTGTTTCTCAAAGGCTGGCTCTCCAAAGGGGCAAGAGGACAAAATGAATCTCTCTCTCTCTCTCTCTCTCTCTCTCTCTCTCTCTCTCTTTGATTGGTGTAAAAATAAGCTTTTTAAAGCTCGAAATGAAAGCATATATTCTCATCTCACAACTGTAATTAGATTTAAGACTCTAAAACAATAGAATATCATCATAAATATGAGATTTTAAATGAAATATATATTCTCACAACTAAGAGGAATGGCTTACACAATAGAACTTAATAAAACAATGGGTCACTCTAGACTATGCCTAGTTCAAATTAAGAATCTAAAATAATGGAACTTCGTGCTAGGCGAAAAAGAGACTGGATTTTAACATGATAGAACTTAATGATTGCTAAATAATAGGAACTTTGGCCAATGGCAATCTCTAACCTAGTATCATCTGTTAATGAAGTAGAACCCACAAACATGGAGCCCAAGATTTTAATGTACCAAAACCTTGTACCATGGTTGATGGGACCGAGGATCTAATTCAAAATAGAACTGGATTCCACTAATTGATGGAACGTAGTCCCTTTTTTTGGGAACGACATCCCAAAATAGAAAAAATAGGGTCCCTACAAGATCCATTGCAGGAACCGTGGGATCCAGGTTCCGAAGCGAGATTGTCACCCTACCCACAAGGTTCCCTTAACTATGCTTTTGATCCATATCTAGATGGATAGCCGTGCATCCACTTGTGCTTCTTAATGGAGTGCACCAAAAACTACTTCTACAAAAAACTATAAAAAAAAAATTGTTCTCTATAGGAAAACAATGACAATGAGAGTACATTGTTTCTTGAGATGCAACAGGACAATGAGGCTGAACAGATTGATCTCAAAACCAAAAGCAACACTATCACATATTTGCTATAAATGCAACATTTGCATTTCTATCGATAGGATGTGTGCATTAATATGAGAAACCCAACAAAAATAAATGTGCTTCTCACTATTATCAAGAATTACAAATTATGGATGCATGAAATGATCGCAAGTATCACATACCACTCGCAAGCTATTACTAAACTGAACCGATATGAACATCCATGAGTCCCTTTGTCTCGAAAATGGTGGAGGATATTCTGGCGTCAATTTTCTCTCAAAAGGCTCACTATCTAATTAGAGATATTTATATTTGTGTGTGTATGATATAATTTACATATCTAGTGACATATGCTTCTAGAATGGTGCCAACTCCACAACAACCCCATTCAAAGGTCAAAACCAATTTCCACCATGCATTTTCTTCCACAGTCCAAACTATCCATACATGGCAGAATTCATCATATTTCATTCTGACCCTGCATGTCCCGACACTTTCACCAGGGGACCAACCAGATCGTTACTGTCACATAGCTCTTGATTTCTCCATTCTCTCATATTATTATTTTTCTTATCATTCCCTTTTTCCAGTGGAGGACTGTAACTTCAAGACATCTCCATGGTTCTTGGCATGTTTCTATCCATAAAAAACACAATACACGGGTTCAAGGCTTACTTACTTCTGCTGACACATTATTTTAGAATGTCACTGAAACAGTACTTGGCATTATGTATGATCCACCCTCTCTTAATAACGTATGGATGTTTCGTATCTGGGGTGTCCGCATGCATCCGATATCATTCAAATATAGGCGATGAGTCTCTCACTATGCCAATCAGTGTGCTCAATGTCACATAAAACTATAACTTTCAGTGCTCCAAAATCTCTCCATAAGAAGGTTTTCAATCATTCACAAACCTCTACACCAAACTGACTGGCAATTAAGGCCAAAAAATAACAATCTCTTGGAGTTTCCAATTCATGGGACATTCTAATGCAGCTGTTCTTTTGCCTATTTTCAGTTCTTTTCTTGAAGTGGACCAGTTATTAACGGTGGCTATTCTTAACAGTAGTTATCACATAATTATGTGCTTTAGTAGAGCTCCAGTCACACTTGTTTGGGTCCAATCTAGGGTGGAAGTCCAACACAGGAAACAAAAATGTAATATTTCATTCAAAAAAAATTCTGACAAAGGGAATTCTCTAAATCATGACATGATCACCTCAAAAAAAATTAAAAATATTCAATCACTGAAATAGATGAAACAAAACAGTAAAAGAATGGTCTAAAGAATTTGTAGAAAACTACAATTGTTAAAAATTGTGCAATTATACCTGTGCATCATCAGATCCAGACACTAAGAGTGAGCCCTTGGAGTTCCATGCCACTGCATTCACACAACCCTGGTGACCCTGCAAAGAACCATAAAAACCCAACAATTGCAGTACAGCATCAACAGGGGAAAGGAACAACAAGGAAAATTCTAACATTTCCAAAACAACATTTCTCTTAAAACTCTAAATTCTATGATAAGTCCCACCCAAACAATTGTGGAGCTAATGTTTACAAGGTGCTGAGATGTACATCAGGCGAACTAAGCCAGCCACGAAAATTGAGACATTGTTATTTATTAAGGGCCATTGAAAACTCCAGGTTTCTTATAGAACCCAATCACATGATACACTTTGTCATTTTGAAAAAGGATGCAATTTCTGTAAGGGCTAGGCTTTATGAAAACAAAGTAAAGCCTCAACTCAAATCCTCATCCAAAAAGCACTTTGGAAATCAAAAATCTCCACGATGGATCTAAAATCAATTTCTAACACCGACTATGAAATTTGAAGCTCAAAAAATGGTATAAATCTTGCGGATATGTGAACACTTACTTTTAGGGTGAAATGGATGGTCTAGATATTGTGTTACATTATACACTTTTTTAGGGCTTGAAATCCCATTTTATTTCACAACCATAATGTTCAAGGCCGAGATGATCAATTTGAAGGTTTTCCGATGCCAAAATTGCAACTTTCGGTGAGTTTTGAGGTGAGGCTTTACTTATTTCGAAACATTTACCCTTAGAAAATAAACAGGAGGTACCAAACAAAGCGAAACACAAAGTCATAAAATATGTCATTCAGCTGCTATTGGGAGAAAATTTTCAATTTGTGACTCACAAACCTCCAGCTCTTTGTCTAAAGATAACCTCCGGACTAATGAAGAGTGCATCTGCAGTGTCTGGTTCACATCCTGCATAGCTCAACCAAGTGAGCTTAGTGATCAATGCTTATCCAAAAAAAAAAAACTTAACTAAACCACCTCATCTCCCGTTTTCTCTTTGAACCAATCCAATTCATTTAAAATCTTCAAAGTCCATAATTAAATATAGGAAACACCAGTTCAAATGCATAGAGAGATAAATTGATATAGAAAAATGCTCATATTCACCATAGGTCAGCATGTACCTATCCAAGAATTCTCAATTACACCCAACCATTCTCATTTTCACATCTACCAAATCCCAAAAGATGGTGAGATTTGAACCAAAGAAAATATTCAGGAAATGAATATTCAAACGAAATCGACCCACTCTGCAATCATCTACTTCACTACTATCCCGACACCAATCAAGAAGCAAAATTATTAATTTCTCACATATTTCACTGTCAATAGTGACAGATCAACCAATGAATCAAAGCTATCAAATAGAATACTCAAGATCGATCAAAGTATCATTCAGCATCACATAATACAGAAAAAAGAGTGCAAAATGCAGAAAAAACAGAGCAAACAATGCAACGTAAATGGTGATAAAAATGGGGAGATTACCTTGCTAGAATCTAGTTCTCTACCACTGGTAAAATGGGTTATGTTAACATCAGGAAACCCTAACTCTTTCATTGCGAAAAAGGAAAAGAAGAAAAAAAAAAAAGGAAGAAAAGAAAAAGAACTCCTCTTTCTCTCGCAAGGAAAACGCCTGAAATTCTCGTCCTTCTTCGACCGCCTCGACTCCGCAAAGTTAATGGGTGAAGAAAAGACGTAAAATCTTCCGTCTATTTACATATGACAAAAATGCCATAACTTTTCTTTACGCAGTCTCGAAGGGAGACTTCGGAGAAACGTGGGTATCTTGGTCTTTTTAACAGGCAAAAAAAAAAACTAATATTTACCTGAAAGCTTATTCGCTTATTAAAATTGTACATACTGTCAAATATTAATCTCGGTCTACACAAACTAAAATTTGACAAAAAGGATATGGAAAAGTGTACAACGCCTTAAATGGTATTTTAAAAACGTTCTTACATCAATGGAAAAGAAAAGGATGAACTTTCTGTAGGGCTGCAGCTCTATTTATTGATGTTGGTCTGCAGCCATCTACACCGTCTTTGTATTTGGACGGTGCAAGTCTTGCACACTCCCTGATTTGGGAAACCGGGCTTCTGGTTGCTTCAATTTTATTATGTTAAAATATAGAGAAAATTATAAAAATGTCTGCAAGGCAACTTTCTAAACAATCTTACCCAAATTTTTTTCAGCAACTTTTACTGTAAATTGAACTTTCTTAACAAATACCCCCAAATAAAAAAAATCATACATTTTTTACAAAAATGTTCATAGTGCTGGACTACCCTTATTTTGTGTCGGACCGCTTGCTCAAAGTATTGAACCGCTTATATTTTTGTGTCGGATCGCCTTCATTTAGTGCCAGATTGCATGCCCAAAGTGTCGGACCACCCTTATTTTGTGTTGGACTACTTTCCAAAAACAAAGTGCTAGACCGCCCCCATTTTGTGCTGGACCGCGATATTTTAGTTTTTATTTTACTTTTTCTTTTACTTGGGGGTATTTGCTATGAAAGTTAAATTTAGAGTAAAAATTAAAAAAAAATTAAAAATAAAAATTGGTTGGGGGAAATTGTCCAGAAAGTAAGATTGTGGTAAGTTTTTGTAATTTTTCCACCCATTTTTTGAACCAAAGATACCAAAAGCCCATTTTTTTTACCAAAGATACTAGAAACCAAAAGGGAAAATTTCATTTGGAACCCTAATTCCCAATCTTATTTCATGGTAGACCGTCCATTCTTTTTTTCTTTCAAGCGGCATGCATAAATAAACCCTTAAGGATTTCACCGTACCCCCTCAACTCTGATCTCTCTTATTTATTCTTTTTACCATAAAAGTGAGCCCCAACAAATCATTTTATACAATCTCAACCCAAAAACTTTTTTAACCATATTTTTCCCTTTTCAAACCTATTATATCTCCCACATTCAATTCACCACGTTCTAAAAATCATTTTTTGTTATATTTTTTGACCTTTTCAGCCTCTCATTGTCATATTGAGGGCTCTCTCTCTCATATTGGTCTCTCTCCTTTCCTCTTGCATATTAATCTCTCCCCAAATTATGCAGTCGGTTCTTTTCTCTCTCTAAACCTCTCTTTCTCTAATGACCATGTACCATATAATTTCTCTTTAATAAACATGTACTATGCAATTTCTCTCTAGTGGCCATGTATCATGTCATTTCTCTTTCTAACCATTTATCACTCATCCCTATCAACCTTTCTCCAACTTGATTTTTTTATTTGGCCGTATAAATATATTGTGTATACATTAGATATCATACTAAATACATTATTGTATGAGTTCTCTCTATGTCTCTCTAACACAGCCTTTTTGCTTTTACTAAGCTCGAAAGGATATATGTAGGTAACCCGTCAAGTGTATTGACTCAAAACACACTCAGACACACTGTAAGAATTGATCATTTAAGAGACCAAAACATCAATCATTTAGTTATCTTTGATGTGCAGGTTCCCATGTAATGTATTGCTTATTCCAAGCAATCTTTTTCACAATAAAAATTCTTATGTTTGTTGTAGTTGTTAATACTCAATAACTTTTGGGCCTGGTTTCTATGCGGTGAAGCCCGCATATATTGAAATGTGGGTCTCTTAATAAATCTATTTTTGAGATGAATTTTAGGACTTAATTTTTAAGTACATGGAGATCATGAATATGAAAAAATAAATCAATTTTAAAAACTAGAAATAACAATTATAGTAAGAAAATATTTAAACCGTTAGTTTTCATTGTTTTTAGATGGACCACCTACTCGCATCCATCTTTAAGATGGATGCTTTACACTTTCTGGACCGCATATGTAGAAAGGCAGTCCAGCCCGTATGAAACAATTTTCCATTACTTTTTGGCGTGGTTCTATACCAAATAAAATACACACACAAAGAGATGGTTCCATACCAAATACCTCCTACACGTAAAAAACCAAAAAAATGAGAAATATCCTGAATTCAAAAGGAATTTTTTTGGGGTAAATTTCAAAGGGCTTTGAAAATGCTATTTGTACTTTGGCATCATAATGCGCCGATCTGGAAGGTAGTCGAGTCCTATAACAAACAATCACATAGAGGTGTTCCTCGTAACAAATCTGAAACTGATAGTCCACATTAGAGAGAGTTTTAAGCTTATAATATTGACAAACAAAAGCATTTGTGGTTCCTCCAAACCGTTGCCACTACAATTCAATCTTAAACCGATGATCACGGTTATGTAATTCATCTAACTTCTCAATAGATGATGCAAATGATTTTGCAAGACCGGTCAAGCATACCCAAACCTGTAGAAGCAAATAAGAGTATCCATAATCGATAATAAATGAAACCCTTTGAAGTATATATTTACTAACAATAAAATATTTGAGCATAAAAGTATACAAATAAAAGGCTATAGTTTTTAAATACTTTTGGGCAGGTAAAAGGTTAAATGCCATCTCAAGAGCAAATCTATTGTAAATGCATATAACAAAGGGAAAATTTACTAACCTCTTATTAAAGAGCTGCCCTACAACTTTCTCTATTATGTCCCGGGTGATTACACCTACTACAACGAATAGGTGTCACGTCCGCCTCTTGTAACTCAATGCGTTTAAAGAAGGCCTTTTGTGGGTGGTGGTAGCATATATGACTCATCTGAAAATGACTCGCCATGCAATGACATATCAATTAGTGAGACAAGTCTAACTGGTTTAGAATATGTCTCTCGGCACTGCAATTGTGAAGTACTCATCACAATATTCATACAAATCCTTTTTGGCCATATATAGGGCTCTGCATGCATACTTGCATGGCAATCCCATGATTAGCTGCTCGACACTCGTACTCTCGTGTGACTATATTCATAGACCAACTCATGTGGTCTCCAATTATTTCAAATTCCTCACTTAAAACCCTTATCACACTTAGAGAGAGAGGTCTTTATACTTGCTGCCAATCTCTTTTCCACAGTAGGGGTGATAGTAGTAGTCCACTTTTCATACTCCAAGAGACGCTCGGCCATCAATTGCTTTTTTTGCCTCATGATTCGATCTAGGCATTGTAATGTAGGGAGTTCTAGAGCCTCTAGAATCCAATTATCAAAGGATTCAACTACCTTAGTTGTAACATGCTCATACGGCTTCCCCTTGAATATAACAGTAGCCCAATGCTCTGGTGATGACTCTATTACCCATTTATATACCTCTTGGGAATGGCTTTGAATCTCTCCCAATCAAGATATACTCGGAGGCGATTCAATTTAGAGCAAAAATGATTTAAGAGTTTTGGGATTAGCCATTAGAAAGAGAGAGAGGTTCAAAGAGAGATGAATCTGTTGTGAAATTTAAAGAGAGAGAAACCAACAGTGAGAGAGAGAGAGGTGAGCATACTCTAAGGGTTGCCACCATGGTGAATGGAGAGAGAGAGAGCCCTTGCTCTAGTAGAGAGAAAGCTCACTGTGGTGAAATGAGAAAAGAGAAAAAGAGATGAGAGATAGGAGTGAAAAAAAGAAAAACATGGTCAAAAAGGTTTCTAGGTTGAGAAGGTATAAAATAATTTATTGGTACTAACTTTTATAGTCAACAGTGAACAAAGAAGCGAGATATGAGATTGAGGGGGTACACTGAAATCTTGAGGGGAAAGAAAAACAGGAGTCTACATGAAATGAGATCGGGAATTAGGGTTCCATACGAAATTTTCCCAAACCAAAAACCTTCTTCTTCTCTCTCTAACATTTCTCTCTCTCTAACTTTACCAATAGGCAAGAGAGACATTTCTCTGATCTCTCTGAGAAGGCGAGAGAGTTCTGTCTCCTTCTAACATCTCTAAGGAGCATCGCTCTGTCTCCAAGCTTTTTCAAGTTTATCTCTCTAAATTTGAAAGGAATTGTTCCTCTTTCACTTTCTACACTTTTCTCTCTAGAAAGATCAGGGCTATAGCAGGTGGTCAATAGCTCCTGGCCGCGTGTGGTGGTGGTGACAAAGTAAAGCTATTCAACGTCTCAACAGAGCCAGCTAGCCCTGCACCCTCCATTACTCGCCTTCTCTTGATTTCCAGGTTAACTCAGTCAAATGGAATCACACCAGTGAGACAAATGGACCTATACCCCGTTCGTGTTCACTTACTTTCTTATCTCTTGCAAAATGCTGGGAAATACAAGTATCTATTTCTAGGCAACTGCTTGAGGGAACGTCAGTGATCTTTTTGAAAGCGAATTTTTTAATTTTGAAGTTTTATGTTAGAAACTGTATTTCTGTATAGTTGGGCCTTAGGCCCCTATGGAAATTATTTCAAAATATTGTAAAGAACTCTATGTTTATTGATTGATTTATAAAGAATATACAAGACCCGTATAAATATACAACTAGTAACAATTAAAGATAAATGTCAATGGTTATGGATAACTATTAACTAATCATATCATAATCAAGAGACATTTAAGAGATATACACCCATACATATACATATCTCGTTATGTATTCATAATGATATATATCAATATAGATATACATATTCTAATACTCCCCCTCAAACTCAAGATGCTTTTATACAAAGCAGCTGAAGTTTGAACAATAAGTTGCATAAATGAACGAGTTGGTTCTTAAGTCTTCACGTGCATGGCGTGACCAATAAAAGCAGTGGAAGCAATGGTATCTTGCTTGAAGAAGGTTCTCTAAGTCTTCACATGCATGGCGTGACCAACAAAAGCAGTGGAAGCAGTGGTCTCTTGCTTGAAGAAGAAGCACAAAGGAAGCAGTGGTCTCTTGCTCGAAGAAGAATCATAAAACTCGGTAAGGATCTGAGACAGATTCAGTAACTCGCAGTTCATAACACAAGCCAAAACAAAGACAAAGGCTATTTCGTAGAGAGGCGAAGCACGACTCGGTAGATAGTCAAAGAAGAACTTGGCAGATAGTGCAGATCGACCATTTTTAGAGGCCATTTTTATAGGTGGATGAAGACTATGGGCAGTAAAATACCTCTGCAGCCACCTAAGAATTCACGTTCCTACTTTGACGAAGATGCGCACAAATTGGTACAGCAGTTTGTTGATGGAGATTGTCAATGGAAAGCTTTTGCTGAGACGTACACAAATAGGTTTGAACTGCACGGAGATTTGCTCGCAAAAATTAGGCACGAACTATTGAATTGCTTGCAAAAAAAAAAAAAAAACTTTGAAGGAGATTTGCAAGCAAAACTTAGGTACTAACTTTTTCTCTATCATCAAATCAAAATCTACAGCAAAATAGAAACGAAAGATAAGTTTGCAAAATTGTTATGCATAGATGGGTCTCAATCCCAAAAAGATGATAGAAAGGCTCAAGTGGCACGGCGCATCTTGATCTTGTTTCCTCCAGTGGCATGGAGTTTGATATGAAGAAATAAAAAAAAACTTTTGCTTGCAAAGCGTACTGCTGAAGAAATAAAATAAAAAAACCCAGCTTCACGAGATCCTTTCTAGAGAGAGTAACTTGGCCCAAGTGTAGAGAAGGCCAAGCACTGATCACATAAGACCCAAAGAAGATCGCAAAGAACCTTGCTCTGGATATATATGGGTATATATCTCTTGTGTATTCATAATGATGTATATTAATATAGATATACGTACTCTAATATTTTAAAAACTGACAATGGTGCGAAGCTGCTAGTCCCAAGTGTTAAATCATGTGTGCTATGGTGGCTATGTATCGAGATGGCCAATTGGATTGGGTCATTCTTTCAGAGAGAGGGGAGAGGAAAGCAAGAAGTTGCACTTCGTAGATGAAATTTTTGTAATTTTTTGAAGTGCAGGGTTTGTTTCATATGTAGCATATGACCATTTGCCAATGAGAATTTGGAGGTAGCTGCTGCTTTAGAAAGTTTGCCTCTCTATCTTCCTCGGTATGGAATCAATCCCCCTTTCCTCCTCTCGTTGTGATTGAAATGGCAATTTTGAGCGAAAGGAAAAAAGCTCCCCCCCCCACCTCTCTCTCTCTTCTGGTTTCTCCTGAATAATCATCATTTCCTTTTTTTTTAATCTTGCATGAAACATTTATTTGTTCTGAATTTTCTTGATGTTCTTTTACTATTGCATTCTCCATGGACAATGGAGAATTTGGGCACTTGAGATTGGCTATGGTTTGAAGGATTTGGTAAAGTGGAAAATTTAATTTGTTGAATTGGAATTCCTCTTTCTTCACTCACTCTCTCTTGATCTTGATGCGTGGGAACTTTCAAATAGATGGGTTGGAGTGACACTTACATATGAAGATCATGATGTCTATCTGATAATTTGTCATGCTTTCGACTTTGCAACCCATGGTATTTACATTTATCTTTGGCGGTTGGGCGTTGTGGAACTATTATTTTATGTAATCACTGACACATTAATGCATGCAAATTAAGAGATTAATTTGTCAGCTCATTTTATTTTAGTTTTGTGGTACTTGAGGTGAGATCTGCAATCTATTTTTCTCATGGACATTGGATTTGCTCATGAATTTTCAGCTGACTGAAATGATATTAAAGCTATCTGATTTAATATATGTGGAGAATAATGATAACCTCATTGTGCCAAATCAAACAATATTTGAAAGGAAAGTCTTAATAAGCACCCATCTTTGAATCTTTAAATTCAGTTTACCCAAAAATGAGAGAATTGAACGCAACGTCTCCTATAAAAGAGAGTCAAGTCTAGATTTGACTGCTTTCAAAGTTTTTGCCCCAACACCAAAATCTTACATGCATTAAATTAGCAACCAAAAATCCGTTCACAAAGAAGCTATGTAATTTCTTTTCCTTTTTTTCTTGGAATTGTCGATGTTTGTATTGAGAAGGAAAAATCTAAGTTTAAAAAGTTTAGGCATCCCACACAATGGGTGCTCCATACAAAAAACTTCCAAAGACAACAAGAGGTGGTTAGCTCAAAAAATGCTATATGACCTGCGTCGCATCCCAAACACATTGCCCTGGTGCAAAAAGGCATGAAAAACTGAGCTAATCACTGCTGCTGCTCAAACACATTGCCTTGGCTGTTACTCATGCTCTCTTGGGTGTTGTTTGTGCTCCCCATAGTGACACACCTCTATTGCTCCGCAGCCACTTCACCTTGGGTGTTCGTGGTTACTTGTACACCTGCACAAAACTATTAAAAAATAAAAAATGATATGATCAAATATTATTGATTCCTAAATAACCTCAACATCTCTCATCAACGTATCTATATATTGAATTACATACAAAATGCTCCCATCTTTGAAATACCATGAAAACCAGTAATTCCATTTTTCATATTGGCCCTAACAAAGTATAATCTTGATGCTAGGGGTGGCAACTGGTTGGGTATGGGTCGGGTGCAGCTGAATCCGTACCCAAGCTATTACGTATTTGACAAGTCCAAGAATATAGTACCCAAACCCGTACCCAAAAGGATATTAAGGACCCAGACCCAACTACTTTCTATTGTTCATTTGATTTCTAACTTCTTCACCTCTTTTGCAGTTTCTATTGTTCATTTGATTTCTAACTTCTTCACCTCTTTTGCAGTTCTTTCATCCTTGTGAGTTTACTCATCTTTTCGATGTGGGATTAATTCCACCCACACACTCTCTCTCTCATTTTTTTTGAGTGCTTTAATTTTTTGAATGCCCTGCCACCTGCACGCACTTTCTCTCTCGCTATAGCTGGGCCGCCGTGTTTTTAATGGATGCATATACCAACTCATTAAACCAACTTGGCAACTTATTAAACGAACTTGGCAACTGAGGATACTAAACTTGTCAACTCATTTAACGAGGAAGGGAGCGGGTACACAAAAATATCATGTGAAGACGCACCAACTTGGGCAACTTATTAATTGCTTTATACCTTTTTAAACCATCATCTTAATTGCTTTATGCTTTATACCAATGGACACTTAAAAAAACAAAAAGTGGCATTGTGTGGGATTAAGTGGGATTAATCCCATATCCTAAAGAGGTATAGAACTCTTGGGATGTAAGCTCTATTAAAGGGGCATGGAACTTAAAGAGGTATAGAACTCTTGGGATGTAAGCTCTATTAAAGGGGCATGGAACTTAAAGTTGGTTAAATAATTAAATGATATAGAATAATAACATAAAGGTTAAGTTATATATAATAAATATGGGCCTAGATACTTGTTGAGTTGGGTATGGCCATACTTGTACCCGGACTTGAGATTGATCAGGTATCACTTATTAGATATTAGATCTTATACATGTACCCGGACTTGAGATTGTTTAGGTATTTCTTATTAGATATTAGACGCAGACCCTACCTGTAGGTCCAAAACTTGGACCCATACCTGAACCAGCGTAAGGTAGGGTCTTGGATTAGGTCCGGGTCCATTGCCCCTACTTGATGTAGATATAAACAAATGGTTGAATGGTAAATCAAAAGCTGAAAGCTTACACAATCAGATAAAGGTATTTGATGTCCATATGCAACATTAATGCTCCATCAGATGTCCCTTGGTATGTAATTAGAAACCAACAAACCATTTTGAAACTGAAGTATTGTATTTCAAAGCCAATGGCGTATACTTTTCTATGTGATTATTCTATAATATGTAATGCTTGAATCCTATCACATCTTGTCCCACTCTCTCTCTCTCTCTCTCTCTCTCTCTCTCTCCCCCTTCCCAAATTTTATGCTTATATTAGGCCCTTTATTGGTTAGAAATCAGCTTATTCAGTCTCACCCAAAAGAGAATTGTAGATAACTAGCAGTTAAGACTTTGGTATCTTCCTTTTCGTTGCTTCACCCTCTTGCTAGTTTCTGTTGCTTTGAAATCTGGACCTTTAATACAAAAAACTTTAGTTATTGGAAAAGATTAAAGAGACCATGTTAATGGACAAGCACTGTCCTATCAAATAAAATAAGATGAGAATGTTTTTCAATTGAGGTGAAAAAAACTTGCATTTTTTTCTATGTGAATATTTTTTTCTTTGACATCCAAATTGGCCCTTAGTTATTGGAAAAGATTACAGATATACCATGTTAATTGACAAGCACTGACCTATCAAACCAGAAACTACAACCCCACCACTTTTCAACAAAAACAACAACAACAATGAAAAATCAAGGGAAATAAAATAAAATTCAAACCACCACATGCTTCAAATGGGCTCAAGACTGGTTCTAATGAGCAAATGGTTTCAATTAATAAAAAATTAATGAAAGAATAAAACCATTCTACTGGTTCACCAACCATCAAAACACAATATGCATTTATCCCGGCAATTTAGAAGGTTATATCAATGGCATCATGAGTTCTTGATAAATATCAACCCATAATGAAGTCATGTGGCTCAAGGAGTTCAGTTAGGGCAAGTGATTATCTTGGCCATGTAGCAGTATGTTGCAAACGAAGATGGTGTTGGATAACATCTGATCATTCAATTCAGTATTAGGATGATCATTATTATAACTCCCTATAGAATTTTACAGATTTCTATACACTTGCATAATTCACATTCTTTTGACACTCCAATCTACACTATAATGCTTTTTACATCTTAAGTTGGATTTTACAAATATGATATTCTTGGTAAAGGCATTTAAGATTAGTCAATAGGGATTCCTCCCCATGCTCCGAATGCCCAATTTTCGGTTCAGGCCAGTGATAACAAGACCATATATTCCAAGAAAACACAAATTAATGTAAGAATTGCAGAGATGGTACATGAGGGTGATTGTCAAGAGTCAATTGCAAGGATTCTAAGTCCAATGAACCAGCTGCTTCTGCAGCTGAATTGGGTTAAACCCATTTCTCTCTCCTTCCAATACTGAATACAAGCGTTATCGTTCGACATGCAACACAAATAATTCAGGGGTTTCTCCAAAATTCAGAGAGAGAATAATGTTTGCAACAAAAAATCTATTTACAAAGAAGTTATGTATTTTTATTTTTTTTGAAACTATTAGCATTTGTATTGAGAAGAAATAATTAGATTATGAGCATAGGCATATTGGATCAAAAAATGCTATACAAAAAGACCCACAACGACAAAAAGTTGTGGGTAGCTCAAAAAATGTTATACAAGCATATCACGAACATAGGTATACTGGATCCCAGGGACCAGGGTTTAAAAAAGTACCCAAAAGCTCCCCTGCGTACCACCCCAATGGATATCAAAAAAAGTGATGGCGTGAAAAATTAAGCCAATCATTGGGGCTCCTCAAATACATTGCCTTGGATGTTACTCCCCCATAGCTATAGACCTCTGTTGCTCCTTAGCTACTTCACCTTGAGTGTTAGTCATCCACCATTGGGAATCACTTGTACACCTACACAAGAATATAAAAAAATAACGAATATATGATCAAAGGTGATTGACTACTAAACAATTTCAATATCTCTCATCAACCCATCTACATATTGGATTCAATACACAATGCATGTCAAATAACATAAAAAGATGAGTTCAATGCACATTTACAGTGATATATCAGCGTGCACGCTGATTGCATACTAATATATGCGTAAATCAATGTACACACTGATATATAATGATATATCAGTGCATACACATAGCAGGAATTTTGTGTCATTTCCCACACATACCAAAAATCAAGTAAAAAATACTGAAGCACCCAATTAAACTGCCTATAGCAAATAAAAATGAAATCATTACTGACAAATAAAATCCAATTATTGAAGTAACAGAGAATTACTGCATATGAAAGATGACTAAAGAAGACTTGTCGTACCATGTGCTATATATGAAGGGGCAATTGTGCTTGTCATGACCCATGACTCCGTATGTATTGCACTCTCTCTTACTTGCCATCTCCAACCCAGATTTGCATCTCCTAATGTCAGGTCATCCCTTTGCCTTTGCACACAATGGAGCCTTTATAGTCACATGTGGGTTCGAGACCACAAAGATGACGGGCCACTGGAGGGGTAGGAGTTTGCATGGAAATAGGGTTACTATGGGTAGAATATGCATGTTTTGTAGAAGCATTCTCCATCTGCACTCTAGAAGCAACCTTTTTTTTTTGGGTAAATTAAAAGTGGCATGTCAGTGAGGATTTGGGCCCCTACCTTTTGGTGAGAATGGAGTTAGAGACCTCATTATAGGGCTCGGCAATACTATCGCCAAGGCCCCATGCGATTCTTCTCTAGCAGCAACCTTCTCACGTGCCTCTTTTAAAATAGTCTTTGCATACTCGCATGCACCCGGATTCACTGCCCCAATAGTTGCCACCATGTTGGCCCATCGATGTAGGTCCTTGAGGTGCATGGAATAGGTATCATCAAAACGAACCCGTATTTGAACCTCGAAGCCATCAAGATCAACCCCTTTTGTCACATCCTTAGTCCATCGTTGCATAATATAGCAATCGGGTAACTCTAAGGATATTTTTTGAAAGTAATACCCTAAGCATATGACTGCATGGAATACCCATGCACTCATATAGGTGGGAGCTACATGTTGCTTATTCTCAGTACCATTAAATACAACTGAGTGAGCCAAGTGACAACCCATATGTGTGCAAATAGAAAGTGCACAACACCCCATCATCCACTTGTACTTCACAACTAAGATCATTGGCTTTCACCAACTCTGGCTGAAAAAAGTCCTAAAAGATAGTTAGGGCATAAATTTGAGCCATCTACTTCTGTATTCAACTAGCGGTCTTCATAACTGGTATTTTGTTGCGAGATTTGAAGTCTAGAGTACTTCCATCATCAAATTTTTTATCAATTAATTCTTGAATTTGGGCAACAAATGTAGTTAAGTTGGTATGGAAATTCACATATGCCTTAATGTCCTTATTCATGAATTCATTTCTCCCACTAGTCCTATTTTCAGCAAAGAAACAATCTAGCAAATATACATCCACCAATTAATCTCGAATTTCATGTAAGGACTGAAGCCATTCATGATTATTTAGATCATATCTTTCGAGCATTCTTGACCATCCATCTTCAAATTCCATAATTGTGGTACAACGGTCAATGCAATTGTAGAAGTCTAGTCAAATGTTAGATATCTACACTCAACTTGCCCCATTTTCTGCTCAAATTTTTGTACAATGCGCCACTTACACAAGCGATGTCAGGACTCTGGAAATACCTTATTTATGGCAAGGGCCATTGCCTTATCTTCATCAGTTATGATTCACTTGGGTTGGTGTGCATTCGTCACCTCAAGCCCCTTTGTAAACAACCATATAAAAGAATCCTCATCCTCTCTCTGGATCAAAGCACACCCTAAGACAATAGTCTTCATATGGTGGTTTACTCCTAAAATTGGGGCACATGGCATCTTATAGGCATTGATCTTGTATGTAATGTTAAATATAATGACATCCCCAACGAACTCACATGCCATTCTTGATTTTGCATCAATCCATAATACATTAGTTAGGTACCCATCTTGATCAACTTGTATCATGTATGCAAATGATGGGTTCATGGCAATCTTTGCGGCAAAGAACTCCATCAAGCCCTTTGCATCCCCTCCTACCAATTGTGACTTTCTTCGATTTCTGTATATTTCATTCTCACAATCTTGCTCTATGAAAGAAAGACTCCTTCGACCTCCAGCCTGTGCACTCACCACATTCATGATCTTTGGTGCATTTAAACCACATGAGCTATACATATGGATCGATTCTCTTGTGGGCTCGGGAATTTTACGATGTGAACAAAGGAGATGAACTTTGGATGGTGAAGTCAAGGAGTGAGAATGCTTTTTATTATGCTTCGCAATGAACCATGTACCGTACTCATCTTTCTTAATTCTTAGCATAGCTTTGCACCCCATCCTTGTATTGGGCCTAGATCGATTCCCCTCATATTTCTTGTGTCATTGACCTCCTTTTGAACAAACATATTCAGGAGTGATAAGTGATCCATCTTTTCTTGATCGATGACATGATGCACATCGAACACTGAAACCCAAATTTCTTGCATACTCGTTATAGAAATCCAATGTGGCTCTAGGGGACTCAAACCGCATACCCTCTTGTGGGACATCTTTAGACCATTTAAAAGATAGAAGCTCCGTGATAATTGGTTTACATGCATCTTGGCCTACATCAAACTCACCATGATCATCACCATCTACAAGAACTTTATCCTTCAGTTCATTGTACTAACCAAAATCATTGATTCCATAATCATTAATAGGAGGACTTCCCATTTGCTCAGGTGTATCTATCTCATTATTACCCAAATTACTCCCGATCTCCATTTCAACTGTGAACCTTGTGTCCAAGTTCAGATTCATCCTATTTTTTGAACCCATAAAGATGAAAGAAAATTAATTAGAACATTTAATGACTTACTTTGAATTAAATGGTAATTGAAGAAACTCAACTGCAAATTTATTGCAACCATCACAATTATCATTCACTTCTATAGCACTACGAAATTTATTGAGATGGTTACTTTCATCAAAGTAAACAACATCATGAAAATGATAAATATTTAATAAATAAGAGCACATCCAAAGGTATGCAAGAGAAAGTAACCATTTCAAATTTGGTTGCTCTCTGAAACCCAAATGAATGACAAACTAAAGTATTTCCCAATTGGGTTTGAAGGCAACCCATTTGGTTGAGCCTCGTCCTCGTCGCCTCGGGGACCCGGCTGGGGTCCGGCCCAAGGACGCTCTCTCGAAAAACCGAACGCCTACACGCTCTTGTGCGGCGCGTGCGCGTGTGTTTGGGGACACGTCCAGGCTTGGCTAGCCCTCTTAGATCACTGAGGAAAGTCCCCCGGCCTTCTTGGAGCGATTTGGACTTTGCTCCCTTTTCGCTTGCACACGGCACCGGTCGGTTTGCGCACCTCCTTCGTATGAACCCGGGATTGAGAGCCCCTTTTGGTTCGTCCCTTTGAGTGTAGGTTTTGGGGCAATAGGTTTGCGAATGGTTTGATGAGGGTTTGGTTAGGGTTGAGATGGGGTTTAGATGAGGGATAGGGATAAAAGAGGATAGATTGGGAAATGAAGGTAAGAAGAGAGAAAAGAGGACCACCTTTGAATCCGGTGGCCTTAAGGCGTAACCTCCCCTAGGAGGTATTACTGGGGCCTTTCTAGAAAAGGTACCAAGTACGAGGCCTAAATATCCCCCGAGGATTCAAGAGGACGTGAGACTATGGGACAAGCCTGTCGAAAATACGCCTTCGAAGAGCCTCTTAAGGGATGTTCTAAGTGATAGAGTGAAAAGGGGTGAGATGAGAGGAGAGAAAAGAAGAAGACAAGTGAGAGTATGAGAGAAGGGAGAAAAGAGAAAGAATGATCACTTAACGATCTGGCAGCCTCCTGGTGTTACCTCCCCTAGGAGTTATTACCGGAGTCTATAAAAAGGTCCTAGTCGAGAGGCCTAGGCACGTCGGAGGATTCAAGAGACGTACGACTATGGGCCAAGCCTGTTGAGAATATGGCCCCGAAAAGCCTCTTAAGGAGTGATCAAGAGAGAGAAGTGAGAGGGAGAGAGAGAAGAAAGAGTGAGAGTGAAGTGAAGACAGATGAGAGAGTAGGGGAGAGGGGGAATGAGAGAATGAGCGAGCGAGTGGGACAGGTGGGTGGCCCAGCCGCCTACCTCGTGAAGAGAGGAGAGAGAGAGAGAAAGAGAGAGAGAGAAGAGCTGGGAGCTAGGTGGCTTAGCCGCCTGGTTCTTAGGGAGGAGAGAGAGAGAGAGAGGGAGCTAGGTGGCCCAACCGCCTAGTTCAGGGGGAGAGAGAGAAGGGAGAGAAATAGGGAAGAAGAGAGAGGCGAGTGAAAGTAACCGGTACCTAGGGTCGAACCGGCGGCTTGAACCCGGTGGCTAGGTGCGATCCCAATATCCTTGTGAGCTCCTTGAGTGAGACTAAGGCCTTGGTGTAGAGAAGGCTAGGGTGTAGGGCTATGGTGTATGGGTTGAAGGTGAACCTAGATGAACTAGGGTGTATGGTTGATGGGTTAAGGATGGATAAGTTAGAGTGTATGATGTGTGGGATAAGGAGTATGGATAGGTGTGGTGTAGGGTATAGAGTGTATGGAGTAGGAAGTATCGGTAGGTGTAGTGTAAGTTGTAGAGTATATGGAGTAGGGAGTATGGCTGTAAGGTGTATGGTATGAGATGCATGGAGTAAGGAGTATAGAGTAGGGGGTACGATGGGAGGAGTGGGGAGTATAGTCAATAGGTAGGGATTGTGGTCCAAGGGGTAGTCCTCTCAATGTAAAAATATTCTCTCGCCTCTCTATTGAAGTGGAAATGAAGGCACAAACAAGTTTGATCTTAATCTCAACTTAGCCAAATTTCCAACTTTTCCACTTAGGGTTACAAATGAAGTAAAAATGATTATATAGAGCCATCCCCAAACATAGGTGGATGGTCAAAAGCAAACCTAATTGTCAAATAATACAATTAAAATGAATTTCGTTTTTGGACAATAATGACTATTTTGCCCCTCCATACTTTTGTAAAAATGATAAGACCATCCTTAAAAAGGGGCCTCTTGCCTTCCCTGTGGTTCGGGCCTATTTTTGGTGCTTTCCAACGACATTCCGTGCGATCCAATGTCATAGAAATGTTGGTCGTCTCAAGGCTATCGATTTGATATGCATTTTGAGGCTTGAATCAAACTTTCGATGATGAACCCAAAATATGACCAAACCCATAAATTTGACATTTTCGATCTTTGATCTTGCATGCTTTGTCGCAACCCCTCGATTTGAAATCCATTTGATCACTTTTCTAATTTTTAAGGTTGCTGAAAAATGGTTTTCTAACAACCAAAACAATGTGTATTTTTGTAGGCTTGAATAGAACACCTTACTGGCCTTCATCTTGTGCAAATAAGTACTCAAATGAAGCCCTTCAAGTCACGATCGCAACGGACCCAACTTTGAGGTTGTTGGAGCCCGAAATCTTGAGATATGATCGTCGGAACGACGACATACGCTGTAGAAATTTTCCTACAATTTGTGTACTTGTAGCGAATTTTTCTCTTTGATTTCTCCTTGCTTGATGATCCCCACGGCGCATGCCATATGTCAAAACGTGTGTCTCGATGAAACGAACAACATAGTAAAATTTGGGGTCGATCCGCCTCAAGATAGAAGTGAAACAAGCTTCAATAGTTGCCCCATTTTTGAAATCACAGTTACTATTTATAATAACTGGTTCAAAGGGTTCAAATGAATAGTAAAAATCTTGCCACTTTTGGAAAGTGGGACCTAGAAAAGTCCCTTTGAGCTGAAAATGGGCAGACGACTTGATTTCGACCTTCTGAATCCATTGGTAGTAGTCCTATGGTCACTAGAAGTCTCTATAGCAGAGTTCTAGCTATGGTGCATCGTAGGCATACTAGGAACCTGGGCCAAAAACTGATTTTGTACTTGTTTCTCCTATTCTTGCCCGAATTGGATGAAACTTGGAGGACATCCTTGGATTATCATAGGAGACTTGTGTGCTTGATTTGGGGCCAAGAGGACATCACTATCATGCTTCTTCAAACTAAGACTTATTTGTGTGGGGCTTCCGTAGTCCATAGGTGTGACTAGCACCTACAGGCTTGAGTCACAACCGCCTCCTCTTTTATTTGCATCGGGGAATTAGTGCATCAAATATATGTACCAACACCATTCTATAATAGAAACTTGAAAAATCTGAGAGCAAAAAAACACCTAAAGAAGGAAGACAACTTTCAAGATACCTTTCTTGTCTTGACTTCCAAAACTTGAAATACTCAAGAAACAAAAACAAAAATAATAATGAATCAGTTTTCATTATGGTTAAGAATATGAATATTTACAGTTCCACCCCAATCCTGCAACGCACAAATAAAATCCCATGTGTTTTTAATATAGCAACCTTGCCTCTAAAAAACTCGTTTCTGTGGCATACACCAACTTCGGGAATAAACAATCTCATACATAACGCAAACCATGATGGTCAATCAAATCTTAAGCCAAATTTAAATAAAGAATGCCCCCAATAATAAAGAATGCCCTCAATAATTCATTTGAAGTAGTATTAGAACTCATACAAAACAAAAACACATAAACAAAAATTCAACATCTTATAATTCATAGAAAATAGCACTTTGAATAAAAATTAATGGTAAATTCACTTTTAATACATGGTTTAAAACTATTCAATTATATAAGAATCATATCTAAACCACAACCATAACTAATTTTCTAGATAAGATCACCTTAAACAATGCTTTTGCAGAACCACCCATAAAGAATAGATCCAAAATAAATGACAAAAAAATTCATGGAAATCTAGCCCAAGTTCTATCTAATCTGCTTAAAAAAATATATAAAATCCATATAAATAACAATGTAGAAATGGAAGAATAACAATGTAGAAATGGAAGAACCCATCAAGTGTATGCCTTACAGTAGCAATGCTCTAAGCAAGGCGGTAAATTGATGTAACAATTAGAGCAATTAATTTAGTAGTCCAAACTTGATAAGCAGTTGATGGATCTCATATTCCAATATGCACAAATTTTAGAAAAAAAAAAGTATGGAATTAACGAAACTCAACGAACCAGAGTAATAATTAAAGCTCAAAATCAACCAAATATCAAAAAAAAAAGAGGAAAACAGATGTCTGCAGCTTATGCTTCCATAATGCACAATCCTGGAGAATTAGTAGAGAAGGGGAGAGACAGGGAGGGAAGAAAATAATCTATAGAGTGAACGAGTTAAAAACAAGCTTAAATGTATAAAAAAAGGTATAATCAACTGAAGGGGAGAAAATAATACTCTTGCAGAAATCAACACATAATACCCTCTAAAAGCATGCTTCATACCCACAAAATCACCAAACCCTAACACCATTCCTAACCCAAAAGATCACCATGCTCAAAAGATTTGAAACCTTCTGGATAGCCATTCTCTAGGGTTCTGAAGAGCTTCTCTGAGGAACTTATCCACCGAGCGTCTCGTCCTTCAACCAGAGAATGTATCAAGATGAGAGAGAAAAAGCTTGTCCTTCAACCAGAGAGGTATCCACATGAGAGTGAAAAAGATTAGAGAGGAAAAAAGGAGACCAGAAGCATGGAGAGGGATTGGGTGGTAAAATATTCATGGAAATGTAAAATAGGAAATATATTAATGGCGTAATTCATTGCTAACGCAATATATTGTTACTGTTCGGGAAGTATTTGGATGCCATCTCGTTAATGCATTGTTAAAGCTATGTCCGGAAGAAATCAGGGAAATACATCATTTTTCAATATTTTGGCTATAAAATACTGTATTATTATTTTTAATTGTATAAGTTTGTTTTTTTTTAAAGATAAAATATCAATTAAAACTGCTTTATTTTGTAATATATAAATGAAGCAACTATTAATTTTATCCTTTCTCCCTTTAATTATTTTATTTCTAAGTGAATAGCTTAACCATTTTTCTAAGGGAGAATATTATCCTCATCACTACTTACTAATATGTGAAAAGCAATGATATCACTATTATACTAATGTGAGGCCATGATGAATCCATTTGCCATTGACCTGCATAATAAATAACAAGGTTTTTTCAATACCACACATAATCCTGACACGATCACAACATTCACGAATGAATCAGACAATGGATGAGTATATCCAACAGATTGAGTCGTTGTTTAATCCAATGTTGTCAGATTCGCTTCGGAGTCTGCTTCAGTTTGGTTTGAAAAATGAAGCAATTTGATACTTCAGCTGATTCGAAAGAAGACTTTTGTTTTTTTTTTTTTTAAAAAAAATTGAATTTTTTTATAATTTTCTAAAAAATTAATAATTAAAAATAGGAATTTAATAATAAATAAATTAATTACCACTTATATATTCAAACGAAATAACTTTTAGAAAAAATTACAAAAAAACCCAAAACTGCACTTTCATGCAACTAATCCCCAACGTAACCTTTTCACTCACTTTTTTCTCCACATATGCTTTTGATGCAAAAACCCCCACCAAACTTTTTATTTTTAAAAAAAATACCTAAACTACCCTCTCTTACTTTTACCTCCATGCCTCTCTCCTATATCCCAGCAAAAGAGCGGTCCCCGATACCGTGTAAGTGGGATCCGGCAGTAGCGCTCCAACACTGTGTAAAGTGTGGTCTGGCAGTAGGGCTCCGGCACTATGTAAGGTGTGGTCCGGCAATTGAGAATGGCGGTTTGACAGTTGCAAATGACTGTCTAGCAATTGTAAAGTGCGGTCAAGCAGTTGCAAAGAGCGGTTCGACAGTTGGAAAGGGCAGTTCGGTACTTGTGCGCTCTGACAATGTGATATTGCGTTCCAACATTACGTTCCGACAATGTGCTACAGGGTCCAAAAGTCAACGTCAAATCTGACCAAAATGATTTTTATATACGAGAAGAGCATTTCCGTCTAAAAAAATGAACTTGTTCCTTTAGAAGGATATTTGCTTAGAAAGTTTCTTTTGGGAAAAAAGTGAGAGAAAGAACTTGGTTGGAGGTAAATTTCATATAAAGTGTGGTATTAGGGTTTTTTGTAAGTTTCCCTAACTTTTAGAGAGAATAAATAAGTTAGTTGCTTAAAGGATTCAAATACATGTGGCTACTTTATTTTTGTGGAAGATAGGTGAGTTTTGACTTCAAATTAGCCACCTCATGTCATAAATGTCCACGGTAGAAAGGGAGTGCCGTGCCCTTTAATTTTGTCATATCCGATGGGGAATAGATTACCCGTCACCCTCGTAATCCATTTCGTAGCTATTTTGGTGGAAATTCCATTACACGATTTTGGACCCCATATAGTAACCTATTACCATTTCACACCAGTGTTGTTGCGTACGAATACAACGAAAATGAGGGATTTCATGTAAATCCATTTCCTTGTAATGGATTGTCGGATACCCAAAAAGGCCCTTAGGGAAAAGGTTTCAAAAAAAATGGCGAGGGGTTACTGGGGTTATTGGTTACCCGATTCTTATTGACTTTGTTGCGATGAATCCTCACCGTCCAAAATATTGGATAGTGAGAAGTGTTGCAGCTCTAGTTATTTCCATGCTGCAACTCTAGTTATTTATATTGGGCTGCAACCCTATGAGCTGACAAAATACTTAGCATGAATATGAATAAAGGTGGAATCTCAACCGTCAGGTGTTTATCGGGTGATTCAAAATACATATCCCTATCTGAATTTTAATTTTTTTTTAGAAATTAGATCTTAATGAAAATTTGAACATGTGTATTAAAAGATAGGTTGTACAAGAAAAAGTAGATAAAACACATCTATTCTAAAATATAAAATGACGTAAATATCTCTGGAATATGATGGGGTAATTTGGTCATTCTAAATTCTTGAAAGTATTTTTTTTATATTTTTATATGGTGCACTATAGTGTCAAGTATATACATCCAAATTTTCATCTCAATCTGATTTATAGAGAAAAAATTACAATTCACACTGTGATGTGTATTTTGAACGATGAAAATCTAACATCTGAGATTTCAACTATATTACTATTCATTATAGCTGTCAAGTGTTTACGCTTTACTCTTAGACAATATATGGGTCATATTTTCCGATCGGTAATAGCGAACCGTGGAGATAATCCCATGCCCCATTGATGGGCTTATCTCAATTGTATGTTTATGAGAACTGTATGTGCATGCCGCTCTACATGAGTACCACATATTCAATAACTGATAAGATGCACATATTTGCAGGCCTCATTAAAATGTTATATATGTAATGTAATTTTCTAAAAATACAATGAATGTAGTGAATAAGAATTATGATTGTCTATTTCTTCATGCCGATAGATATTTATTTTAAAAAAATAACTCATTTATTTTTGTGATATTTTTAAAATAGTGCATAAACATGTGATATAGTCATTGTAATAGGTAAAGAGGATTGTTTTAATTATTATAATTGAATTGAATAATAATTAAATTTAATAATCACAAACAAGTCAATTAATATCATCATCACCATCATCAAAGCTTTTTCTTAACTAATTGGGGTTGGCTACTCCTACATGAATCATGGTCTACCATTCTGATGTATTAGGGGCTCAGTGAGGCCATAAGTCTCTACATCTTTTCTCAATACTTTCAACCATGTCCTTTTAGCCCTACGCTTGCTATTTTTTAGTCTTCAACTTGAACTAACTCACACATCCCAACAGTTGTTGTAGTGGGTCTGCATTGCACATGGCCAGCTCGCTTATGTCTACTTTTTCTCATCTTATCGTTTATTGGTGTCACACCTAAATTCTACCATATATATTTACTTTGAATTTTATCCCTTCTTGTCTTGCCACTCATATATCTCAACATCTTTGTCTCAGCTAGGTTCATTATATGAGAATGTTATATTTTAACTGTAACATTCCGCCCCATAACTTAAAGTTTGTCATAAAATTGTCCTATAGAAGTTGCCATTTAGCTTCATCGATATGTGGTGATCACATAAAACTCTGGTTACACATCTCAACTTCGTTCAACCAACTTTAATTTTATGCGGGAGATCTTCCATAATCTCTCTATTTTCCTCTATTATCGATCTAATATATCAAAAATATGCTCTTTTTAGTATCTCTTAACCGTCAATCTTAACTACTTCATCATCTCTATTCCTATTATTATTAAACTTGCATTTTAGATACTTTATTTAGTCCGGCTAATTTTAAAACCTTTAGATTATTGAGCATCCCTCAAAATTCTAACTTTCTATTGACACCGTTTTGGGTCTCATCGATCAAAACTATGTTGTCCACAAAGAACATACACTATAGTACATCCTCTTGTAGATGCCTAGTTAGGTTGTCCATACCTAACAGAATGAGGTATGAGATCAATTTTGACCCTAAGGTAGACCTATTTTAACTGAAAGCTTACTAGTTTCTACACTAGTTGTTCACACGCTACTTACCGCTCCCTTGTGTATATATCTCACCAAGTCGATGTAATGTCCAGAGACTCATTTCTCTTCCAACACCCACCAAATCAAATCTCGAGGTGCTCTATCAATGGTAAAACCAAAAAAATGCAAGAATAATGTGGGGGTTTCTTAATTTTCAGTTAATAGAAGCATCTTACGTACTTTTTTTTACGCCGACATTTTCAATATCTTGCCATGAAAAATCAAAATTGGGTTTTTTCGGCACCTACCTTATCTCGGTCCTTATTCTTCGGTACGTGGTCATCTCTGAGTCACCATTGCTTTCGGTGCTTAGGGCCATTCGCAGGAAGACTTCAAATTTTTTTTAATTTAATATAAATATATTATATATTTATCTATACAAATATATAAAAATAATGACAAATTAAAAATAAAAATTTAAAAAAGAATAAAAAATATATAATTTTTTATAGGTATTTCTTTGCTTAGGCCGAATGGGCCCGAAGCATACATGAATCTGACTGAAACGGCAGCACCAGGCTTCGTTTTGCTTCGATCTAACCTAAAATATGAGGGTTTTGACCTCTTTCGAGTAAGCAACACGGATTTGACAACATTTTTCTAAATTGTTAAGTTCTGGTTGGTTTGCTAACAACAGGACAATGAGGGGCGTCCTTAGGCGCCAATTTGGTGGTCCATGAGGGGCCCATTTATTGTTCATCCACCCATGAGAGGGAGGGTCCTTGTTTCTTAGTGAGCACACCCTAAAGCAAAGTCGTATGCATAAATAATTGGGAACAAGATTGTGGTCCTTCAAGGCTTAAAGGTAGCAACATAAAATGACGGAGGCACGCAAATTAGCCTATGATGGTACAGACTGAGAGGGACGCCAAACTTGGATGTAATCGAATTCCACCCACGGGTGTTTGACGCAGGTTTCGTATTTGGTCGTCCTATAAAAGATACCTTGGTTCCCTAAGCACATGCGCAACTAGGATGGATTCAAAAACATGCAAAAAACATCATGGAATCAACCCCACACCTCTCTCTCGGACTGGGAATGGGCCGAGCGAATAGGGGTCAGCCTTGCCCTAGAAAAACAAGGATATGTGCTACAAATTGTCGCACCGAGGGCCGGACGGTACTGATCCAGCCCCGGCCTTGTTACGTTTTTGCTTCTTCTTCTTTTTTTCTTTTTTTTTTTGGCCCATCCCCGGCCCTCTTATGTTTTTGTTTTTCTCTATTTTTTTTCATTTTTGGCCCAACCCAGCTTTGGCATGTTGGGGATGAGGGTC